GGATAATATATACTTTCTATATCTAGCGCGCTGTGTTGACTCCCCAATTAACACTAAATCATGGGCTTTATTAATTATTGTTTATTCCCGATTATGCTAGCAACGACGGCACAATCATATCAGCTTTGGGTGGAAATTCAATCAATAAGGCCAGATATTGATTGGGGGACGGTGGACCAAGGGTGTGATGAAGGATGTACTGGTGTCAATTGGGCAATCATTCATTTCGTCATTGCCATCAACGCCGCTAATTGAATTGCGAAATCGAATCGGATGCGTAACGAAATCGATCGTTGCTGGCTAACATGCGAAATGAATACCCAAATGGAGTCAAAACTCCAACCAATTTGTTGACTAGGCATTTCTCTGTCTAATCCAGGAGTTTACAGACTATTGGACTTTGATTGATTGGGTGACTTGCTTTTTTAGATAAATAAAATACTTGATACTTTTGTCGATGAAATGTGCCAAAACACCAAGGCTGCCAGGAATAATAAATTTATAAGGATTTCTATATGTTCTTTCTTGAATTTTATGCCATTATTTTGTTTAAATATTTTATTATTTTACATACTACCTAGTTCCGGGTTTATTCTCAGCTTCCTTCTTTATTTGAACTCCCATTACATTAATAAGCAATTCCTCTGTGACAACATTTTTATATGACCCTACATTTGATAACTTTATGCACCAGCTGCGACATTGAGTGAGGCCATAGACTAATCATTTCTGTATATACTATACTTGTTATTATCTACCATGGCGCATTGTTGTTTTTGTTTCGGGTGTGACTAACACTTTTGTTTTTGTTGTGTTTTCCTGCCGCTGGTGGCATTGTTATCGTCGCTGCTCTTTTGTCGTCATTAACGTCAGTGCGGCCTTGTTTAATTTGAACATTAATCATGGTCTGACGCCTGACAGGGGGCCAAAACCGAGGGCCCCACAGGGAAAACGATTGCAATATTGCACCCTGAAAAAGTTGCACCTTTGATGAAGACAGGCAGATTCTTCTATTATTAGTTTTCCGTCCAGACTAAAGTTGCACATGCGCAGCAAAACTTCCGGTGGCCAAAGGGAGCAGCGCTAAAAGGTTATTTGCAATTTTTGTGGTACCAGCTACTGTTTTCAAACGTTGGAAAACTTTAGCCCTTCTCATCATCCTGTTTTAGTGATGATGTAGGTAACAATACGTTATTCAATATAAAACATTAACAAAGTATTTTTTAGTTTTTGTTAACTATTTTACTGTTTAACTCTTTGTATACCTCTAATTTAAGATAGTGGGTTTGAGGTTGTTATATTTAAAAAAAAAACAAATTCTTAACAGAAATTAATAATTTGGGTACTAAGAATAAGTAAGTTGTAAGCTTTATTCTATATGCTCTTAAAGAAAACTTCCTGGTGCTCTACATTAACATTTTCATGGCGCCAAATTAGCACAGTAGTTACATTTCTTGTTTTCGGCGTCTTTTTTTATTTTCCTTTCTATACCCATCATATCCAATCATCAGTAACTGCTGGCTCACATTAATTGATAGTTTTGCCACCAGTTGGCCCAGATGGAACCCTGACTAAGTTCTCATTAACTCATCTATCATGATGTGGATGTTTAGACAGTGCCTTCCCCTCTTTTGCTCGCACTCTCATTAGTTCCTTTAAGTAGGCCATTCCATTCGGCGAAGGGAGAAGCATCACAGTTGAATATGATATCTGAAACCCGCCCCTAAATCCACATTGAATGCATTTCAATTTCCCTTTTACCTCTCGAAAAAAAGTACTAATTGCAGCAGATCTCTCTTGCATAGAGCTCTTCTTATCAGGTTCACTTCTATTATTTTAATTTTTTTTTTTTTTTATGGGATAAGTTGAACGTGACCCAGCCCGTTTTCACCCCTTCTTAGTTTAGGGGTCTTGTCCGTAATTAATTGCAAAAGTTTTGTTCGTTTTCTGTCGTCTGATGCTGCACAAAAAGTTCAAAGTTGATGGTGCTGGGAAGTGGTTTCTGTACGCAAGTGATGAGTAGTTAAAAACTGAATTGTCAATTATGATGAATAATTATTGGAAAATGCTCTAATTAGCTGCTGAAAACTTTCACCGAAGGGTTGATCCTAGTGGAAACACTGGTTTATTCCATTAAATTAATTATATGTAAACTGCTATGGAAAACTTTTACTTAGTCACTTTAACTGGGGACTATGATTAAATATAAGTTCGCAGAAGTGTGAATTGCGAAAGTTTGAAAACGTGAAAAACACTATCTTATAAAAAAGGGGTGTGCCATGAAGAAAGAATTACGCGAGTAAAGTCTTATTTAAAACATAGAACTTGGGTATTTTTTATTTAATTTTGCAATACAATGCAAACATATTTATAATTATAATTTACTGTGAAAGAAATCCGAATTTTTAGAAAAATAATATATAAAAAAGTAACTTTAAAAGTTGTGCCAAAATTTACGTTTATAAATAAAAAAAAGAGTACTTGTGGTACATTAAAATTTTTAATAGCTTAAAATGATTTGACTTCAAAACAAACAGAGATGCCACATCAGCATCTCTGGCACTTGTTCCGCCATTTAAATCCGGTGCTCATCCCTTGCCAGTTTGCCCAGCGCATCTAGTAGCTGCTAGTGTCCTTGTTCTTGGTTAACTCAGATCCTTTGAGTCGAGAGGAAATGCTATCATTTGGTGGCTGTCATCGTTGTTTTCGTTGTTGCTGCTGTCTGTTTGCCTGACGCCGACGAAAGGTTAAGGCATGCATCGCTTCCATCAAATTAGACGCATTTTCGACGCGCTTTGTCTGTCTGACCCTCTCTCTCTTTCTCTTTGGCTCAGTTCATCTGTCTCTTTCCGCCTGTCCATGTCTGTCTCTCTTTTGTCCCTGTCTCTGTCCCTTTCCACTTCGCATTTACCATTTCCCCACCTTGTCGCCACACTTCCTTTTTCGCTTTGGCAATTTTCGAGCTGACGCCGCTTTGCCTTTACGTTTATCACTTCATTTGCACTGAAATGTCAATGTCTGACGCACTCCTCTCCTCTCTGTTTTCTATACCTTTCTCTCGGACGTGTTCCCATTTCAACTTTTTCAATGGGTGCTAACAAAATGTAAGCACTTTTTTTGTTTCTTAATTTCTTCAAAAAAATTTTTTTTGGCACAAACGTTTTCTGGTTATTTAAAATATTTGTTATATTTTTGTACACGCATAAATATTATTAAACAATCAAATCGAAGTCAGTTAGGTGCTCCGATTTTGTTAAATATTCAAAATTTACTATATTAAAAGTTTGGAAAGTGAGAGTACTTAGAACTTCGGCTGACAATCCTCTTCTATTTCTTACCAAATGGCCAAATGGCAGGAAGGAAGCATTTTTGTTGCAATGATGTGGGCGGTATTTTTTCAGTTTGTTGGATGGGCAGGTTGAATTGGGTTTGGATTGGAGGGGTTGTGTCCTGGCGCTAAAAGAAATCTGTCTGACAAATTACATGCCCCGAGTTGCGGAGACGCAGCAGCAGCAGCAGCAGCAACAGCAGCAGATGGTGAAATGCTTCGTTTGCTCCTCCTCCGTGACTTGCTGCTTTCTTTTTGCCCGCTGTTTGCGTTGTCTTCTCATGCTGCTTCTTGCTCCACATTCGGACTCAAGCCATCAAACCGATTGACTGAAGGATTGGACCAGCGCACGTCATTCACTCAGTCAGTCCGTTAGTCAGCGAGTGCAACGGCCTTTTGATTGGGCTACATGGCATGGTCATGGGATGGAGGTGGAGATCTCCTGTCTTTTAGCCGGATGGTTTCGGTTTTAGTGGACTTCACTTAGTTGGATGAGCTCATCCGTGGGGCTATCTTCTTTTCAGTGCGGCTTTTGTTGGTGTGAACAGGGAAAAGGCTGAAGAAGCGAGTTTCCTTACTTCTATATTTCTTTGCATTTATCTAGTGCGTTCTTAAAACCATTTTTTAAAGTACTAAAATCGAATCAAATTCTAATCCAATTTTAAAATAGCATTTTTGGATTATTTCGTGACTTGTATAAAAAAGCATTATTTTTTTTGCACTTCAAAAATATTTTATTAAACAAAGCAAAGAGACTTAAGTTAACAACATATTTTGTAATAATATATTTTCTTTTTGGAAAGAAACATTTATCAGATCTCTTAAATTTGTATTATTATGCTGTACATCTCGCAAAATCAATTTATCATCTTGTCTCTATTTAAGCTTTGGCATTTATTTCCAGCGTAGCATTTCTCTGAATAATTTTCCACACCATTCCAACCGAGCTTTACCTAATTTGTCAAATTTTGTTTCATTTCCCGAAAATCCTTGCTCGGTTTTCTGTGACTGCCACTGATGATGGTCAGCCCTTCTCAGTTTCCACATCATTGGGCAAACCAATTCCTTGTTTCTCACCCCCAACCATCTCATTTCAAAAACACCAACCCCAAACCCCTTTCCTTCAACGCAAAACATTCAACAGTTACAAATTGCCATTCGCACAAAATTTCAGTTATCTGATAAATTTCATAGCACACAAATACAAACATTTGAGCATGGGAATGAAAAATCTATGCAGAGAGAACAAAAATTGAAGAGTTGTTTTGGTTTTTAAAAAATATCAGCAGTTTTTTTTTATACGACTGCCAAAACTAAAAAGCATATGTGTTTATAGAATATTTTTGCCAGTATTTTTATTTTCTATTTTGGTCCTTTTGATATCAGATTAATGTTTTCTCTGAATATATGAAATTATTATTTATTTTTTTTTTAGGATGTGACTCAAGTTTGTATCATTAATATGTAAACCATTTTTTTAAGTTCCTCTATTAAAATTTACTTCTTATTATTATTGTTATTTTATATTAATAAGCTGAGGCTCAATTTTTTAGCATTAAGTTAAAACGATAATTTAAAACATGTTGCATAACAAACAAATAGTTTCCAATTTTGTTTTTTGTGCAGGTTTCCTTTCCGATTTAGTGGGTTTCCTAAGCCACATTTTGCTTACCGTTTCACTATATTGTGTCATCTAGCCACTCATCCTCTCGATTCCTATTAAATAGCACAGCACGCACTTTTCGGGGTTCTCAAAATATTTGGCAAACGTTTGTGCAAATTCTCGGATTGCCCGCTAGTGTTATTTTTCATTCTCTGTCTCTGAATTATTTGTTTATTTTCCTTGCGTCTTGGCTGCTAATTTGCATTAGATGCAGGCAGCCGTAAGAACCCCCGGGGTTATCTTCTCCCGCCGCCCAACTTTTCCACCTCTTTTTGCCGCTTTCGAATTTGTTTCCCGCGGCACGTTTATCAAATTTTAGTTTTTGGCGCTAGCGAAGTTCTTTTGGTCGTAGGTTTTATTTTTGTTTCGGATTCTGTGGCTGAACTGCACGTTCCGGCATTGTTTTGCATACTGCGAGCCGCATTAGCCGGCGAATTTTGTTGTGGTGCATGCGAGTTTTCCGATGCGACTTTTCCGACTGCAAAATCGCTCGTTCTTACAGTTGCGCTCGGTGCTCGGCTTTCAGGTTCGTCGCCCGATTGGCCTGATGCGTGTTGCGTTCTGCTGCCGTTTTCCCTGCTGCAATTTCCCACAATTAACAGTTGGTCGATAGAGAGCGAGAGCGGGGAAACTCTTTAGCCGAAACTTTCTCTCTTATACGAACTCTCACTTTCGTTTGCAATTGGCGGCTAACAGCCGTCTGTAAGCCGTTTGCAGCACTGTTACCATTTTTGGTAGAAGCTTGTTGGTTTTCCTTTATGGTGGCTATTCTAATTTTAATTTACAAAGTCATTCTAGATTATTTAATTTGGCTCTCATTTTTTAGTTATTTAAAGTGCATGGAAAATTCCATAAAAATGGTATTTAAAATAAACTATCATAATACCAATGCATTGGTCATTGACGTTAAAAGAACATTTGATTTTTACAGTTTTCAAATTCTAAGTGCTTTAGTAGGAACTCGTTCATTTTTTTTTATATGTATGAAAAATATGTCAATGAATTTTGAACTGTATTCTCAACAGAAAGAAACTTCGACAGTTAAGTGGATTTTAATGTTACGTCCTTATTAAGAATGCCAATGAAATAATTAGAATTGCATGTGTACTCTTATTAGCTTGGATTTCCAAAGGCTTTGATTGCTGATTGATTATTCTGTGCTTAATTGCATGCATTTTACAGGTAATTGATTCCTAATAATTGAAATTTGTAGTCACATAAGCGAGAGAAGAGGACGAGGGCTCATAGGAATCTGTGTACAAAATACAATTGGAAATCACAGGATGCAAAAAAGGGATATTAATCAATCAACGCTGCAATTCTGCAATTAATTATTGTTATTCTGCTAGTAAAGAATCTTTTTTTAAGTCTTAAATCTAAGCCTATAAATGACTTCGAGTTGGTAAGCTTCTCACTTCCTTGCCATACATTTGGCATTGGCTACACTGTTTTCAAATTTTTCTGAAATGTAATTTAAACTAAGAAAATATTTCCATTTCAGATACACATCTTAATTTCTTCTTCAATTTATAGAGTAAATAAATCATTTCTCAGCACTTTCACCATTTGTCGTCGTTCCCATCTATGAGCTGGAACTTAAGACGCCTCTGGCATTGAAATCTAATTGCTCTGCACTTGGGTAACCATCCACCTGGCTCAAGCCAGGATTTAGCTCCATACCTCTGCTAGTCATTAGGAGAATATCAAATTTGCAGTTTTTGTTCGCACTCAACTTGCAAAGAAATTGCTGAAATAATTTCCATGTGGAGGCCAGTTAAAGTTTTTTTTGGCAAAAAGTTCGCCATGGTTAGAGGAAAGTGAGAAAAAAACACTGGCAAACCAATTGAGGAAAATCCAAAAAGATGGGGATAATTTGGAAAAAAACCCGAGAAAGAGTGACACAGAAAATATGGCAACTGTCGACGTTCTTTGCAGAAGAGCTTTAGTTTGGTCTTTTGAGCAAAACTTTTAATCCTTCTGGTTGAACATCCGACAGTTTGCTTAAAGCCTTTTCCGTTGACACTGAAAATTCGACCATAACTGCGAGATGTTTATTGTTTGCCACTCAGCAAATCCTAAAAGTTTTACACACAACGTTGTCCCCACTGTACAGTACTGAAAACTTTAAATTAAATGATCAACCATAGAAAAGTTTATATGTTTTAAAAACGCCCCTTAGAGCGTTTTACTATACTATACACCACCAGAGCAAAAACAGATCTTATCGTTTTTGTTTTATTTTTAAAGCCAAAAAACTACAAAAAAAAACAAAACAACACTTTTCAGTTACTACTTGTTTTATTACGTTTAGATGTATTTACTTTCAATAAAATTTGCAGTTTGCAGCATAAAATATTTAAACGTAACGCATCTAAGATAAAATAATAATTCTATCCCAATTGATTTTCCCATAAATATTACGTCTTTTTTGTTACTTAAGGAAGTTTTCTAGTTCGTGGATATTTAAAACATCTCTATTCACAGCTTATACATTTTTGGAAATGTTAATTGAATTTCAACAAGTAACGTCCAGAGTAATTACTGCTGCTAAAAATCAGCTCATTAAAGTTTGCTTTGAAATGTGTCCCACAAGAATATTAAATCAGTTTCCACTTTAAAGCAATTTTCGGTTGATTGAATTAAGTTAACCAAAACACAGACGACGTGGCTGGGAAAGTTTTGGGTGGTTTCTGTTGGGGCGTCTGGGAATGCAGACGCATAGGGATGGCATTCTGTTCTCGGTGCGGGTCAGTTTATCATTTTAAAACCCATTCCCTGGACCTAGTTGTGGCTGCTGTTGTTGTGCAAAACTTTTCGGTGGCAGGCAAAACTTTTCTTATAAATTCTCTTAATTTTTGCTCCATTATATTTTCCCGCACGGTTGAATTTCCATATAAATACCAGCAATATTCCGAAATTGATTTTCAACAAGCTCTTCAACATATTTAAGTGAGTTGGCAAAGTCGCAAGCTCCAATGAATTTTTAATGAACTGTTTTGCCAATGCATGCAAATATATAGAGAGTTCCCTATACGGCGTTTAGTTTGTTGTAATTTCTGCATTTCATTACCCAGTTCTGTTCCATACAATAAATAGTAGATTTCGCTTAATTTAAGCGGGTTCAATGATATCGGAAAAAATTATGCAAATTTATTGGTTTTCAAATAATTAAAACGAATTTTTAGATACGGGTATGTGCCGCTGATATAAAACTTAATTAATTAGTTTACAATCGACTAAAGTAGACCATTGAATGGAAATACCCATGTTGTTATGTTAATTTAGTGTTATGTGTATGTGCATGCGCGTGAGCAGTGAGATTAAACGATACTTTTACCCATAAATTTAAGCCAATTTTCTCGTTAATAATTATTCTGTATTCAACTTTGTCATTCTTATCCTCCTCTACGGAAAATATAATGTGTGTTTATAGAATAATCTCCCCCCGTCGTACTTTCCATTTGACACTCAAAATTATATTCACATTAAATGTGCACCATTCTTGTGCCAATGCAATTTGTGTCGGATGCAAATGATCAGAGCGTAAAGTAAATGCCGCACATTAAAAATAATAATTACGCACAGAACATTAATTAATAGCTTGGACAGGAATTGCGTGTTTTTATGAGGGGGTGTGATGAAATATGAATTTAGCATATTTAGTAGGTGTTTAGCTGGTATTTCTATAGTTTTATGACGCCAATTAATAATTGAGTCATATACTTAGCGTGCATATCTGTTTCTGTTTCTGTTTCCACCTGAATTAAATTTAATTAGCCATTAATAAATGAGAGCTTTGCTGAATTTAATTACTAGAAATATAGGCAACGCGCTGCAACCGTTTTGGCTTGTCAATCAAATGTGGGAATGTTGTCTCATCGTCGCATCGTTGGCAGCCAGATGAGGATGGATTGTGGCCGGGCTAGATGGATGGATGGATGAATGGATGGATGGCTGTGGTCGGGGAGGTGTGTGCGAATGTGTTCTATATGGTGTATGTGGTGTATGCTATATGCCTCCTATACGCCTGCTGTCAGAATGTGATTGACATGCACAAGTGAATCCCCCTCCACGCACTCGGTGACCGAAATACGAGTCCGCACTCGCATTTGAGTGCGAGTATCTGACGAAAAGTAAAACCGTTGCGGGGCAAATCTGAGGCTAAAGCACCGTGCCATCCAAGCCACCCACTCATTTGCATTTTGGCAGCCTCACTGCAGTCGCAGAAAAACCATTGATTGAATAGAAATTCAATGAAATATAGAAAGTGTTCAAAATATTATAAGACTTTATAACTTTGCAGTTTTTTTTTACACGTCAATATTTATGCGATTATACGAACAAAGTCGAGCGCCTAAATATACTCAAGATAGTCACAACAAAATTATTACCAACATCCGTTTTAATATTTCCTTAAGCTTGATAAACAAGAACTGTATTTAACTGCGAATTAAGATAAAATTAGTAATGAAATTTAATTAAAGAAAGTCTGTTTGTTTTATGAAAATACAAGACAAGAGCAAATTATTATAAAAGTTATTAACCAAGATTGTTTCTTAAATTTTTAAGACCTAATTAGCTTAAGGCTTAATTAACATATTTAAATAACACCGTTTTGGACTACTAGATGGCAAATTGGAAATTTAATTGTTGTTTCTAATAATAAAATAAAATTCAAACAGTTTGTGTAGTTTGAATATTTTTCGCAATGTATTGCATGCATTTCACTTTTTCACAAGGGTTCAACGTACTCTAGGGCACTTTCCTTACATTATATGTGCCAAGTGCCTGCAGAATATTGGCATGTTTGCTGGCCCACTCCACTTGACTTTTCTGCATCACCAGATCGGGAACCACCCATCAGCCCACTCCGTTGAAATGTCATTTCATACAAAAGTTTTCAATTTTTCCTTGGTTTTTGTTTGCCATCGTGTCTGGGAATTGTCGGGCTGTGTTGAACGGACGGATGGACGAACGGACGGACAGATTGGTCAGCTATATAGCACCGCATAAATCTAGACCGGCTTCAGTTTCAGTTACACTTTTTCGCCCATGAGTCATGCCACATAAATCACCCAATCCGAGCTCTGCTGCAGAAACTCAACTCGCCCGTCAATATTTATTTTATTTCACATTTTTCGCCAGAGATGTCACAGAAGTAAAATGCTAAAGTGGATGGGGCTGATTTTGGGAACGCACAGGGGAAAGTGCGAATTTGTCTTTGTTTTAAATGGTGACCAGTGGGAAGAGTGATGGGATTTATTTGCCATCAGCTTGTTGATCTTGTTTATCGCATTCCTTTATTTCGAATTTTCTTTTCAGTAAATTTAAGGCTTCTAATAATACACTTTATATTGTGCATATGTTATCATGATCGAAATAC